AATACGTACAATTATTTTTCTTTTATGCAATCAATATTTACAAAGTTGTTATGTGCAAGAAATTCAAGTGATGAATAAGATGTGGACTAGTGGGAGAGATTAAAAGAATTTCTTTTCTCAGGAAAATAGATACTGTGCTTTTGCACTGGCCAAACTTTTTTCCTCAAAGAAACCAGTTTACATCCCGCAGTAATACCCTGTCCTTTAGAAATCACTTACATCATGGGCTGGGGATGTAGCTCAGTGCTGGAGCACTTGCTTAGAAGTCACTTACATCGCACAAAAAATATTTTTCATATCTTAGAGCCTTCATTGGCTACTAGTTGAAAAAGCTTCAGTTTACAAAATCTCACTGAACATGAGGTACTATTCTACCTGAGAAAAGAGACTAACAGTACTGCAGGGAGCAATGAAGTAATTTTCCTATAACAAGAAGGCAAGTGGGTAGTATATAACATGATGGTCTAAGATGAAGGCTTCCCATAAAACATCTGGAGAGGTCTCACATGAGCTGTGGACAGATCCAGAATTTTAAAAACTTCAACTGCATCAGAGAAGCTCTTTCATCATATAACATTTTATTATAAGTCCATATGATAACATTTATTGTGTTTTTATATGTATGAATTAAATTTTATAAAATGAAAAAATAGTGGAAATCATTGTATAAAAACTGTTATAAGAATATCAATTTGGAACACTATTTCTGAAAGTTAATTTCTTGAACAGTGTACAACAGGGGGAAACAAGTACCATTTAATGCCACATATAAATTTATGCTCTTGGTCAAACTACGCACCTTAGGTATAACGTATCCAAGCTCTTTCATCATATTAACTTACAGCCATTTTGGTGGCATTACATGTAATTATACATTTTAATTGTAGACCCCATTTGAGCTCAGACTAGCTGCTGATGATTCAGAAGAAGGGTCTCTGTTTGGCTGAGGTTCCTCCTGCTATCACTAACACATTCACAAGATATGCAATTAGCATTTTGGCATTGCATTTCCCTTCAATTTAGATTGGGGCATTTTTGTACTCTCCAAGCCAGGGACAGAGTCAGGAAAACAGTGTAGTATTAAAAAATGCAAGAATACTGATTTGGAAGAACTAAGCTCAAGTTGAATGTCATCACTTACAAACTGATTCAGCCTCTCTAACCTTTACCTATAAAATGAGGGTGATTGAAGGACCCAGCAAATGAAAGCACATATAGACATGTCCTTTGTAAACTACAAAGTACTAAACAGATGTACAGCATTATTTTCTAATTACATGACGTGGGAGACAATTTTTCATTTAATGAGTACTAATCTCAATTCTGATGATCCAAAATATCTGGTGTTATATCTGGTGGGGCTAAAATCCTACCATAAAATTATGTCAGAACAAGTATTTTGGAATCCTATAAATAAAAGTATACTTATAAGGATCACCAAAGTTTTAACTGAAATAAAAGGTAAAGAAGAAATTATAGTTCAAGGCACAAATCAGTTTTTAAGGAGAAAAAAAATGTTTTGGAGTTCCCTGTCAATCTTCAATAGCTACCAGGTTTTAAAATTACTCAAATTTAGCATGATAATAAAACTTCAAATTGTGTTCAACCATGCTAATATTATATGCATATGCACAATTCATCATTAAAATGATGATAATATTCACGATGAGATTACTAAGAACCAAAGTATTCCACTCTCTTCACATCTTTTCATTAGTTTGAATTTTCATCAAATTAAACATTTTGTTATAAGTCCATATGATAATAACATTTATTGTGTTTATATGTATGAATTAAATTTTATAAAATGAAAAAATAGTGGAATTCATTGCACAAAAACTGTTACAAGAATATTAATTTGGGACACTTTCTGAAAGTTAATTTCTTGAACAATGTACAATATGGGGAAACGTGAACCCCAAGTACCATTTACTGCCACATATAAATTTATGCTCTTGGTCAAACCAGGCACCTTATGTATAACATACTATGTAATATATTGCTGCACAGTACCATGTACTGTCTGCCTAGTTTGTTTTTCTTATGATTTCGGTCAGTTTAGCCAGGAGATTTCACTCTGTAAAGGCTCTGTCAAATCAATTCTGTCCTTCTGGGTCTATGGGGATGTAATATTGCAACATCTAAAGCTTATCCAGATAAGTAGAGAACAAATTAATTTCTTTTTGCTTCTCTGCTGAAGAGGAGAGAAAAATTCTTCTTAAGTGCCTGGAGAGCATCTTAATATTCTTCACAGTAGATTAATCTTAAGGCCATGAGCTCCTTGGGATGTGATTCCAGGACACAGCGCACTGGTCCTTTCTCATATTTACACAGATCGAATTAGGTTCAAGGAAATAGGCTGGAGGGGAAATCTCCAGATATTCAAGGGAAGTAAAAGCCTGCAGAAGAGGCCTACAGCCTCAGGGAACCTGCTTGGATGACTGGGTTCCGGTGTTTATGGACTCATTTTGTGTTAAAATCACTTCCTTCACCCCTTACTACTTCGCGGGAGGCCCTCCTAACCATGAAATGGAGAACAGAAAATCGCAAGGCAATCACCCCAGTTACTTAAAATCACAGGGACAACTCTTGGCCAGGCCAAGCTTCACGAAGGCCCCAGCCATAGGAGAGCCCTGAATTTGGTGTAATGCTCCGCTGTCTCCAACTTTAAACTCTTAATATTTTCTGACCAGGAGCTCCATTTATCTGTGAATTTGAAGATCTTCTCCACAAACCCATAAAACATTTTTAACACAACCCCATTTTTTATTCTTATTGCGCTCTTACCAATGACAAGAGAACCAAAGAAATTTAGGGATGGAAATAACTAGGCTGAAACTAACATGAGCCCAATTTTTAATAGGAATCAAAATGTAAATACACAGTGATATTACAGGTCAGGGGCACTTTTCTAGAATATGCATCATATCTGATTTCCATCTGGGTTAGAGTATTTTGAGATAATAAAACATGGTTTTCTAAACCTCTCAAGCCAGACATACATGTAGCTACAAAGAAGTCACTGTAGATTTTTTTTTTTAATGAGAAAAGCTGGGTGGAGATCAAGGTGTTGAATCATATTCTGTCTGTTAGTATGAAGGAATTGTACCAGATCTACAGGGAGTGAAGATTCTGAGGTTTTTGAAACATTCCTCTCCCACTCTTTCAGCATCCTTTCATCCTACTATATTGTACCCCTTCCTTTCCATATGAAAATTATTCCCTGAAGTTGGAATGCTCTTTATATCAATAATTAATACCACCCTGTCTTTTTTTATTTTTTCTTTTTGAGAAGGTCTCACTAAGTAATTCAGCCCGGCCTTGCATTTTCCTGCCTCAGCTTCCGAGTGCTTGAATTACAGGCAAGCACCACCACTAAGCCTTAAAGACACAAAGATTTCAAAATCTAAATTTCTCCTGGGTCCATCATGAAGCCCACTGACAAGCCAGTGGGTACTTCCTGAAGGCCTTGACGGCACCAGCAGCTACCCTTGAATCTGTCTGCGTGGCCAAAGACAAGAAAACAGCCTAGCCGTTTCCTTCATTCATGCTGAACTTGAATAGTTCAGCAGGTGTTCAGGCCTTGCCGTGCTGTCCCTCTCAGTGCGGATGCTAACATACAGAAAGTGCAACTTACTTTACATCACTCCAATACTTCTTCCCTCATCTGTTTTTCTGACGTCACTTCCTAGGTCACAGAGCGGAAGTAATCACGAGCTAACTTTCAGAAGCGTGTACCTCTCCCTCCTGCCAGCAATTGCGCTCCCTTAGGTACTGCTCTGCCTCCTTTCCTTAGGATGAATTGCCCTGCTTAAGGCCACTGAATCCCTTCACCTCTCATCTGCTCAAGGTCATTACTCCAGGGATTCACCTCGCACTTCTGGAAGACTCTGACCTGCATACAAACTTACTGTTATTTCTCTTGAACAATGGTAACAACCAACCCTCTTGACCCCACTTTTCATTCACAGTACTATTTCTATTTCCCTTCCCATCAAAACCACTTGAGAAACTTACCTTTACTGTTTCAATATCTTATCTCCCTTTCTTCATTAACCTGCTTTTGTCAGATTTTCATCCCACATCGTTCCACCAAAGTTGCTGGTGTTGCATTCACCGGCAACTTCCAAGCTGTTCAACCCAGAGCTTCCCACCTTTGAGATCATCAGTCCCTTCTTCTTGAAATGCTTTCTGCGTATGGGGCCCTGTGCTGCCCCGGTGTTTTTCCTGCCTCCTGCTTCCCCCTTGTGTCCCTTGCTGTCTTTCCCGACTTCATGTGCCGAACCCTCCGCCCAGATGGCTCTTCCCGAGCTACCCGCATGGAATGCTTGCCCTTTGTGTTTTTGTTCAAACGTCACGGTCACCTTCCTGCTGAGGCCTCTCCTGACCACCCTGTTAAAACTCCAGTGCCCTTTCCTATCCATCTTTTTTTGTTTGTCTTTCTCTGTGGCACTATTATTTTTCAACCATAGTTTTTTTGATTTATCACCCATTTCCCTCGCTCCCTGAATGTAAGCCCGGCGAGGGGCGGGACCCCTTCTGTCACTTGGTGTATCTTCAGTGCCAAGGCTCACACCTGCAGCCACAGAAGGAGCTCGATAACCATTTTTGAATGTATGGTATATCTTTTTACTAAAGAGCGCAGCCTACCCACGGTCTTCAGAAAACCAGTTTGCCAGAGATAGGGGTCATATTTACAACTAAGGATGTCTGTTTCTTCAGCTCTTCTTCAGGCTGTAGGGATGGATGGAGGCAGTGTGGTGTGGGTGCATGGTGGGCTGGATATTCACCATAAGCCCTTCCTTGTCTGGTCAAACCACTGACTGACCTTTTCTCTTTTAACTGAACCTGTGAAATGGGTATATAATGCAGAACTTTTACTACTTGTTCATGGGCGTTCTTTTTAATTATATTACTTCATTTTTCAAGTAATGTCACCTTTTAAATGCTATTATGCAAATTAAGCTTAGAATTTACTACCAAGAAAATAGTCTTCGAGGTTAGCTTATTGTCTCTTGCATTTATTCTACATTTTAGTCACATCAAGTAACTTTACATGTAAAAATAAATAATTGCAGCCTACCACAGTAATACATTTTGCCTTCCTCAAAGACTGTAGCAAAAAATTGAGTTCTGGAAATGCTTATGTAGACCCTAGGAAGCCACTCTCAAGCTGAGAACACTTTCAGGCTGCTTCCTGAGGAGCAATGCCAAGTCCACCAGATATCTGAGAATGGGCAACTTCATTTTCCCAGTTCTGACACAGCGAAGAGCAAACTGCCCAGTTACTCGTCCCTCTGCCCCAATTATAACACTAAGAAATATAGGAAAAATGTGTAAAATTTATTTGCAAAGCAGAAGTTGAGATGAATAAAACATCTGGCATTGGCATTTTGCCTCTGAATTTGATTTATAAAAATATCAGTGAGCTCAAGCTTCTGTATTTTGCTATGTCTTTTGGGGAATGATTAAGAGTCTTTTACCATAGTAATAAACCTTCAGATTTTGATGTCATTTATTACAATATTGCCTGGAATTCCGAAACGGTTCAGTCAGGGGTGACCTGGGCACTTCTGGACTTGACATATGATAGTAATTGGGCAGCCGAATGTCATAGTGGTATCTTTTCCCAATATATACCCTGTCGTTCAAGGCATAGAGTTTATCTGCTATGTCACTGCCAATTAAAACTGAGAACAGGCGGGAGATATAACGGTGCTGAGCAAAGAGCAAGTATAACTTCTTTCTCCTCCAAGACACGTATCGGCAGTCAGTTTCTGCTGTGAGGGTTACCTGAAAAATGTGAGGCCACGTGAAAACAGAGATTAGTAAGCAAGAAATCAAATCACATTTTTTCTGCTCCAAAGTTGAAGTGAATTTTGTTTGCTGCCTTTTTTAGCTTAAAAAATCACACTGAACCACAATAGATTATAAAACAACAAAATACGTAACTTATAATACATATAAAATGGCATAATTTTATTACTACCTATTTAATTTATAATAATCGTAAGGTCGAGGTCTCTGGTGGGACTCACCTCCTACTGCCCATACAGGGGGGACTATGAGCCCCCACTTGGTTTCCTTCCCTCCCTCCTGCTTCACATCCCACCTCCCGACCAGTGCTTCCTGGGATCCAATAAGCTGTTTGCACTCCACAAAAGAAATAATTATCATATCATATCATAATGTTGTACCTATCTCCAGTTTTTTCTGTTTGGGTACTTGATATTAAAAACATGCAATAAAGTTGGCTAGTACTGGAAAAGCATATACAAGCCACTTCTGAGATTGTGGATATGTAACCCTAATTTAGTTTCCATAGTACAAAAAAGAATTTACATGTCTACTTTTCATATGTATATGAATTTGTGTTTGTAAATGTACATATATGTATTAATTCACAGGAAAACAGTATAGCATGCTAAACAGAACCTACTGAAACAATTATCTTTCAAAACTACTAGATATGACAGCATGGTAGTAACATAAGTAACATAAGCTTAGCATTCTATTGCTAGAAAATAACAGAGCTGGGAGTGGTGATGGATGTCTGTAATCCCAGCACTCAGAAGGCTGAGGCAGGAGGATCACCTCAAGTTCGAGGCCACCTACACAGGGAGTTCAAGGTCAGCCTGAACTACATAGCAAGACCCTGTCTCAAAAAGAGGGGAAAAAAAGAAAGAAAAGAAAAGAAGAGAAGTGAAGAGAGCAGAAATACATCAATATATTAAGTTTAAAAATCATGCATTTTGTAATAAGTGCAGTTTTTTGTTCTGGTATTTTCTAAACTTCCATATTGGCAGTGTTTAATTTATAGTCAAATCTCAGTGATTATATTTTAATTCTAATAGACAGTTACACAAAAAAGAATTTAATAATATTTACCACACTATTACTTACTGCTTGTCCATGAATCCACAGTCAGAACCATTTGGGTTGTGATCTGACTGGATTCATGGGAATTAGCTTTCTCTACAGATATCTGACAGTATTCTCAGAGGCAGATGCCTCGGGTGACTTTCTGAAAACTTTCTGCTCTTTTATCAGTATGTCAAACTAAGTTTTGTTTGTCATACAGAACTCTGAAAGTCAAAGACTGTAAACTGGACTGTTAACAGGTTTTTATAAGTTATACAGTTTTAATTTGGTACCTGTAAATAATCCTAGTTAGGATCTTAACCTATAGTACCCTGAGAGTTAAGAGAATGCAGATTTAGAAAGAACTGTTTTTTTTTTACAGTCAGTTAATTTATCATGTAAAATTGCTGTAAATGATAATATAATTGCTGTAAATGATAACATTCTTTGTTCAGATATTCAATTGTAAACTTAAGACTATTGTGTTTCTATTACTTTTGTATGAAATGATACTTGCAAAAATAAAAAAGGAACCTTCTTCAAATGATAAAAAAATATTACCACAGATTCTTTCTTATCATTTAAGAGGCATGATCAAAAATATGGTGAAATTTAAATTTTAAAATATTTTAATTCTAGCTGAGCACATGGTGAAAGATAGGGGTCTAGATTCAATCTACTGCATGTAAACTTGAAAGCGAAGATCTGTTAAATTAATTTCAACTTAATCTGAATTTTAAATAAAAACTTTGCTACAAAAAAACCCATTTATTACAGTATTTAGTTGTGCTGTCCTGGTTTCCTTGATGCCTGAATCCACTGAAAATGTTCACCTCTCATGGTCATTTACTTTGACTTTGGGGAGGGGCCAGAAGTAGGGAGAGTATTTTCAGGGGATTAGTGGCATGGGTCTTTTAATGTAATACATTTTTAAGATTTAAACATTTGCTGTATATTTTGATCACAGCACATATACCTGTTTTCCTCACTGTAGAATCTAAAACATGGCATTAATCAGCAGGAGTCAAGCAGAATTTTCCAGTCACGTATGTTTCTAAGTATACCCTGAAGTTAAATATAAATTACTCTTCTGTTATCTGTTGTTCAACTTGTTTGTTTCTGGGTTTAGATACTGTTTGTCTGTGTGGAAGAGGGAGCATGCACTGGGCAGTCCAGTTATTCCTTACCTGAAAAATGCCTTCTTCCGTGGGTCTCAGTGAATCCCACTCAGGCGAATCCAGAAACTGAAAGGGGAAAATGTAGTGCAGAAATTCGCCATCGACTGTCACTCTGATCCTATCAAAAAACAAGAACATCATTTATGAAGGAATGAGAGAGTACATAGCAGCGAGGGGACGGGGACATGGGAAGGGAAATGTAACTCAGATCTCTGAGAACCTTTTTGTCCTTTAGCATTTTGAAGGGCAAAATATTAAATTCGTATATAGTATAAGTAAGTGACACAGTATCCTATGAGATTCATGGACTGATCTTCCTCACTGAGGAATCTGGACTATTCAGTGAAACTCACCAGAAAATTCAAGTTGCACATTTATAATATGTGTCCATTTATGTATGAATATTATACTTCTATAAAAGTTTCAATACATTCTGTCAAAACTTTTAAATTAAGCGGAGAACATTTAAGAACATACAGGATATCTGCTATGTAAACTAAAGTTTTAATTTTTAAAAAACATGAATAAATATATTGTTTCTTCCCCCAAAGTTTTTTATGTATATTTTTTTTTCTTGAGGTTCTCCTTTCTACTTCTAATAAATGGACAAATGCTAAAACGTACTAAATCAGTTTGATAATTATAAAATTGAAAGTTTTCGGATACAAGAATGCGCTATCAAAACAGTCTATTTAAAATAGTTTGCATACCAGTATAAATATCTTTTTAACTGAAGCTGGCATCATACTTCTCTTGACTTTCAGTGACTAGCTATCATACCCAGATAAATCCATACTTTAGTTTTAAAGTTTCACATCATTTCATTTCTAAGACAAAAAAGTAAGGCTCAAGATTACTTTCTGCTTCAAGTAAATAATTCTATGTGCTCTAAATCCATGGTATCTGTCTCAAAGACTTTCCCAAGGGTGCTGAATGTCACCCAGGACCGTGTTCTACTTAGATGAGTGACTAGCAAAGAAGCACAAAGAATTAAGACAGAGGAAAGACACGCAAGCACCAAGGGTACGGACCTTCCTGAGACAAGCAGGGAGAGTTTATCGATGGAGGTTTTCCCCTGCATGGCGTAACAGTGCTCCTTTTCCAGAGTAACAACTTCAGAGCTCAAAGCAATTGTTCTGAAGACAGGCAAAGAGATCCCCAGGGGCTGGAAAAGGGAGCTGTACAGCACCTGGAATTCTCGGGCAAAAGTTATGCTGCGAACTTGATATGCAATATGAACAAATTGCATGAAGCAGATGACGAACAGTACAAAATTCCAGGAAAATATGTCAGCAGCACAGATATCTACCCAAGCCCACACTGCAGAGCAGAGAAAACCCAGCCCCAGCAAACTGAAGACATAAAGGAGCCCGAAGAATCCACTGCCACCCATGAAACCTACTACAAATAAAATACTAGCAAGATGATAAATGGCTCCTTCCGCCTCTGGCTTCCAGGTTGTACAGACTGGGTGCTCATCTATTAGGTTCTTCCATAAGCTTGAATTCTTTTCCATGGCTGTACTACTGTCTGTTGCGTTTTCAAATGGCTTGAGATGCTACTGGAACAAGTAATTAACGCTTGTGCTTTTCCATCATCAGAGTTGTGCTCCGTCTTCACAAAGCCAGAGGGAGCAGAGGTTCGGTGGGTATAGATCTTGGAAAACTAAGACTCACATGCTAGTTTCGAGTTCATTCATCCAGGTTCCTGATTTAGACCTAGTCCACAAATATTCTATTTCCTGTGCAAGAGACAAAAAAGGATAAACGATCTCATTAAACCAAAAGCATAAAGGACTGTATTTAATGAATCAACAGCATTACTTATGCAAACTGACCTCCTGTTTTCTATGGAGTTAGAATATTCTAAGTACAAATGCTGCTGAGTGTTAATTAAATTTCTATCATAGAATAGCATTTGTATTAAAATTAGCTGGCTATGTATTATTCAGGTAGAGGAGTGCTCTGTAATCAGCTGGTCTCTAAGGCAGTGTTTGGTGTCCCAGAGTCACTTGAGAAAATGACTAAAACTGCAGCTTCACAGGCTATTTCCAGATACACTTAATCAGAACTGCCCAGTGCAGGGCCAAGGTGTTTGAATTTTAAACAAGTTCCTCATGAATCTGATGGATAAATTCATCATCTTCCACGGTCTGCCCATTTGAGGGTGACTAGCTTATGCTATCTTTTCACTCTTTATACATGAAGCACTTGAAGCTCATAGAGACCAAGTAATTTATATGAAGCCACACAGTGGTCAGTCACAGAGCAGAACTTGGGCACTTGGTGCTCATGCACTGCATCTAAACGTGAAAAATGTTTTAAATTTGGCAGTAAAAGGAGCTCTACTAAGTCAGTAAACATAAGAAACACGTAAGATTCAGCTTTCAGGGACACATAATATACTAGGAAAATGTCTGATAGATTTACAGTACTTGAAAAATAAATTGACTATAATTTTGCAGCATTAGTGGTTATTTCAGGTTAAATGTTGCATATACATAACTAAATACTAACTCTCTGGCTACTTAGATGTTAATGTATCCCATGGTCAAAAATGTTAATGACTCTGTCCCTGTGCATATATATTCTCTACCCTTTCAGCCATATGATAAAAATGCTAGTACATGGTCTGAGTCAGGAGAGAATTAGCCATGATGACAGAGCTGCAGGACTTATGTATCACTACCACTAGCTTCCCTATCCATGAATGGTTTCACTGTACAGGATTCATTAAGTGTATTTTTAAGAAACATAATAACCTTCAAAAGCCTAGAACTTGTGTGCTATATTTAGTGTTTTATTTTAGAAATAGAGTATTTCCAGAACGCCTGTTAATAAAGTATTGGATATCATAGATCTTGTCCCATAGAAATAAAACAGTACACGCACAGAGGTGAGAATGACTTGGCTGGAATAAAAAGGGAGCTGTGTAATCACTCACTGAACTAGAAATGGAAATAAAGAGGCTGCTGTCACCGAAGTTTCTGGTTTTTCCTCTTGGTTAGTGATTCTTTTTCCCAGTGAGTAATGACTGTATGAACACTGCCAGGATAATCAGGATGAACAAAAAAGGGAAAAAGGAAAAAGAGGAAAGAAAAATTACCTACAACTACAACTTACAGTCATATTGGTATTTGTACATGTTTTCAAATACATTTCAAGTATTATGCAGATCCCTGATTATTTTCTTCCCTACCCCATCTGCGAGATATTGAGAGTCAAGGCAGACTGCTATCCTGAACATGTTCCCTTTTTCTCTTCTAAACAAAATACAAAATTCTATACTATCAGATTGTCACAACAAAGGCAAGTTTTTAAAAATGCAATGAGTAATAAGAAGTACGAAATGCCAATCTGCAAATGTCAGTCTCCCTGCTGTTTTGCTTTTAAAACTGGGGTATTTTAAAAATCAATCAATTCTTCAGGAAACTGAACACAGCCAATATTCAAAAGAATTGCTAGTAGAGCTCTGAACTTTGGTTTGAACTTACTGAAAAATTTATAATCCTCAATAAAATGTTAAAATGAAGTTAATAGGGAAAGACCATGTAAAACATTTGTGGTAATTCAGAAGGGAACTTACGGAAGCTTTGCCTTCCTACAAATCTTGATCAGGGGGATATATTGGGGCCCCTACATTCCTGAAGTGTGATCCAGTAGGATGTAAGAGGTACTGTGCTTCTGGTCCAGCCCTCCCCAGTCTACTTCTGACTCTTTAAGCTGTCACCAAACTATCATCCTGTCCTTAACACTGTATTGCTCAAGTGTGCTGACTTGCCCTGATTAAATTACCCTACATCCCGCCTTTCTGCACTTGGTGTATTTTTATTCCATCACCAAAACAAATGTACTTTATTAGAAGCAGGAGAACTGACAGGGGCAGGTGATGAGCAGGAGCAGTCCTCTGGTAAGTGCCAGCAGCACTGGATGAACGCTGAACATGATTCATCAACCAAATGCCAGCCGTGAAGGCCCTGGAGGCCTTAAGTCGTGTTTGTGTGTAAATAAATGCTGAGAGGCCAAAGGGGCACACTGGGTCTCTTCCCTCAGCAATGAAGCTGATCTTCCCCGCAAAAGAAGTTAACACAATGAGCTACAGATGATGGAGACAAAATTTAGTGCCAATTGAAACAATGGTTTCAAGATCACGCTCACTCTTTTCTCTTTTTAAATTGTAAGACTCTGAGTTATAAAGGAATAGAAAATGTAAAAGAAGATACAAAGATATTCAATGAGAAGCAATAGAAACCTGGGAGCAAACTGATGATTAGCTCAGAAACTGCACTTATCAGCTCAGAACTTTTACATTTAGTATCTCATTGTATCATACTCATTACCCACCGGGAGCAGAATCTAAATCATCACGCCCAGCTTACAAATGAGAGAAGCGGGACACAGACTGGTGAAGTCCCTGGATTGAGGTAAACAAGGGATGTGATATAAGTCACATCCGGCCAGGTGGAAGCGCTAGTCCCCCTCTGCCCAGCCTCAGCCCTTGCTAGCAGCGGGCCAGGCTGCCTCCCAGGGCTGTGAATCAGGCTGTATGAATGTGCTGGGAAACCAAAGTAGGATATTCCTCCAGGACTGGTTTGCCAGGAAAATAAAAATTTTACCAGTGGATATTGAAGACTTGCTGTGCTCCTTGTACTGCTCAATCCAAAATGCTTAGAATATTGCTTAGACACAGGCATCCACGCATGAGATAATTTGCTATATCATTATTTAACACTGACAGGTTCCTCTCTTGGATGCTGAAATTCTAAAGGGCAGTAGGGGCAAGGACAAATGATTTTGTGTGTCTGATCCCTGGCTCTCAATGACGTTGACCGAATGAATGTATGGGGAGAGAAGTGCATTGCTCTGCCTTCTTCATCCCCGCTGCCTCCCCAGAGGAGGTACTAACATCTTTTGTCCCTTAGGGGCATAGAAGTGGGGAGAATCCCTACTTCCAAAATATTTCATCACATATACACTGAGAACTTGGGGAATCATTTTTTCAGAATGTCTGGCACAACCCGCAATTGACAGGGGAATCTTTTTGTCTGCTTACAACCTTGAGTTTCTTAAGAGCAGTTTAATTACTGCTTTGATTAAAAACAACAACTTTGGTAGCCACTGGTATTGAGTTAGTTTTGGTTGCTAGGTAACCCGCCAGCTCGAAATTCCATCAATAGTCTACTCATTAATTAGAATCAGACGCCAACTTCAGTATGTGTTCTATATGCTAAATCCTCATCTTCTTCAGTTGTTTTTTTCTACTTATCCTCAAGGTGGTCCATTTACTCAACAAGTACATTCCAGACATATTTTTAAAATTATCTCATTTAACAGCTCCACAAAGAAGGTACTATTATTTGCATTTTACAGACGAGAAAGTTGAAATTCAGAGAGAGTAAAGAAGTGGTTCAAGGTCACTCTGCTTATAACAGAACTAAGATCCCATCCATGTATGCCTATTCTCCAAAGTTCACAGTCTATACCATATTATTCTGCTTCCACTACACAGTACAATACGGATTCAGAAAATGTGTAGACCTTAGTCTCCTTGGTGTTATCTAGATGAACATGGATTTGCTTACTCAAGTCATTAAGACACAGGAAATATCACATATTCCATCCACTTGAAATGGTACTAGAAGGATCAAGACAGACAATTATTTGAAAACGATTGAAAGTCTTTGAAAATTTTAAAACAATATAGAAATAGCACCATTGTACTTGTTGCTTGAATGTTACAGAGCTGGACCACTGGGAGAGTATATGAAAGTTCATCTTTACCCCAGATGATTACAACTGAAGACAGACATGAAGATGAACCATTGTGGTTTCTATCAATTTTTAAATGATGAATTCTAAATTTACTCAGTCTTGCCAGGGTGATCTCTTATGTTATTCTCCCCTGTCTATCCCATGTTCAGACCTCCTAGTGGTGGCAGATGTAGACCAATAACCAACACACCTACCTTCACTCTCTAGAGGTCAGAGAGCCAGTCTCTGGAAGCCAACAGTGATGTTTCTACCATAAATGAGTGCATATAACGGTTCTCATCAGATGTCCTCAAATCACTTCACATGATAATTAGCTTGGTCCTTCTAAGGCCTCCCTTGCAATAGCTGAGCCAGACTCTCCGAGGTAGAACGCAGAAGATCCCTAAGAAGCCCCCACTGATTCCTATACACGTTGAACTTTGAGAGCTATTATTCTGTGTTGTTCCTGAATGATCTCTGAATTACCCTTGCTTATCTGTAGGACCTCAGCTCTGTCCACTCCTGGCGCAGATCCATGCTGATTACTGTGTGTGGTACCCCCAGCTCTCTGTTGGTGGGAGGAATGTGGTGTTAGCTCACCACTCTGTCCTCTGGGCTGGGTAACTTGCATTCCTGCCTTCAAGAAGGGTCCTAGTCTTAGGTGTGCCCCTCAATAGCTGGCTGACTGTAACTTTCATTTACTTTCACCGGTAAATGAAAGGAGACAGTTTACCTCTAAAAAAAACGAGTTTTCACGACATGGAGTAGAAAGATTATCCCAAACATGAGTCAAAATACAGAGCTGGGTAGCAAAGCTGACCGCAGGTCTTGACACCAGGTTTATGACTGAAGCTGGATTCAGAGTCTCGTACTTAATTGGCCTGCTATGTGGCCCAAGTGCTGGCCTTTATTCCCTGACAAACTTCCCAGGGATTCTGATGTGCAAGTAGGGTTAGGGACTGCACATGAGGGCTAAGGAAGCAACTCAGTGGCAGAACTCTTGCCCCACACATGTTTGATCCCCAGCACCACAAAAACAAAACAAAAACCTCTTTAAAAGAAAGAAAGAAAGTAAGAACTATGAATTAAGAGATAGAGGAGGGACAACGAAAACATTCTGCAGAGTAAAGGATCTGGATGTCAATCCTTCTTTTTAAGGATTTGGAAAGGCACATTTTCCCCTTGTGTACTGTAGTAACTTGGAACTTAAATGTCCGCCAAATGCCCATGAGTTAAAGGCTTAGCCCCAGCTGGGCACTCCTAGGAAGTCAGGACCTTCAAGAGGTGGGGC